TCGTTAAGAGCTTCTGTTGAGGCTTGGTGTTTTGTGGGGTTCCCCCCCCTTTTTTTTTTTTTTTTTAATTACAGGTTAAAGGAAATCCTGCTTAAGCATGCTTAGTCTGTCTCTTTAATTGGCCTGTCAGTCTGTTTCTTGCAGCCAGCTATAAATGTAGTTTCTGTGCTGGTCATTGTTAGGGTGTTTGGTTTTTTGTCATTGTTGGGTGGTTTTTTGGGGGGAGGGGGGGCCTGTTTTTTAAAGAAATGAGACTTACATGATCAGGCTGGCTATGTGTAAATTCTTGCCTGTTACGTGGTAATTTTCAAATACATAGAGGACAAACACTTCATCCAAAAAAAACCCCCTTTACTACTGAGAGTCAAATGCTTGTCCTGCTATTCAGGCAGCTTGTTGTTTTTGTGGACAGAAGATAATTCTTTATCTTCTCCATAACCTGTTTTATGATTATGAGATTCTCATAAAGACAGATATACTTTTTTCAGATGGGAGTCTGAAGTCAAGAAGTCTAAGAAGTCAACCTACTGGTATAAATGCAAATGTTAAGAGAAGACAAAGTTGCTTTTAGCTGTGGGGTAGGCATCATGCTTGTGTAAGGGGCAGAAAGGACTGCTCCGAGGGAGAAGAATGCTGCCAGCTTTATTCAGTCAGAGACATTTGAGTCTTGTATTCGTCAGTTCTTCAGAAATTTATGACACAAAGTCATAAAATTTCAGGAAGATACTATTTGTATTCTTGTAGAATAAAATCGTGAATTCTTTTTCAGCATGAAAAAGATTGTGCATTGTTAAGATAAACTGGGTCGTTTCATTTGTACTGCTTAGTTTACATGAGGTGAGATTGCAAATGCTCAGTTTAAAATAGTAATCCACCACAAAGCAATATTAAAATTAGAAATTTAGTTTTTCAGTAGTGTTTTGATAGTCACTAATATTCAACAACAAATGGATGTTTTGACCGTTTTTAACAAGGCGTGTTTGTACTTTTAATAATTTTGTTTGAAGGGGTATTTCCTGTGTCTTACAGGAGTCTTTTCCAGGGTTATATTTTGCAAATCTTTTTGAGTAGAACTATTTTTGTTGTGTAGATCTGTTAGGAAGTCGTATACCTTTCAGTTGTCACAGTGAATTTTCTACAGGAATTAAAAGTGAAAAAATGTGTTTAAAGGAGTAATAAAGAACCTGCTCTTAGTGTGCCCCTGAAAGTTCAGTTGTTATAGTTGTGTTACTGCAGCAGTAGTTCTTTGAAGCTGGTTGCTCAATTCAGATTTCTCGTTGATCTGTGTTTAGAATTTCACATGGTGACACTTGCGTGGTTGGATCCTGAGCTGAAGCAAAGCTGAAAACGCTCACTCTAAAGTGAGTAAAAAGTGAAACTAGCAAATTGCTCAAAACCCCCTTGATGAGTGAATTAGATGGGTACAGACAAACTTGTAAGGTTTTGATGGTCTCGGATGTTATCAGCAAAAGTGTGTGTGGCTGATACAAGCTTAGCCTCCAACTTTGCTAGTATGCAAACAAAATTGTTGATACAAACAACAAAACATCAGTACTATTTCAGAGTTGCCTTTCAGGTTGTTGATTTCCCTTATTTTGGGGGGGGGGGGGGGGGTTTTGGTTTTTAAACCTACAGAGAGAGCAGTGTCTGCAATGAGTTCACTGTGTGTTTTCCTCTCAAATAGATTTTTTTTTTTTTGAGGTTATAGTTTCCAACAGCATCCCTTTTGCCAAAAGTAAAACTGTGAATTTAGTAAATTTGTGTCTAATAAGTTCCTACTAATATTTTATGTTCTTAAGTTTAAGGTTATATATGTATGTGTAAGGTGTGTTTAAGGTTATATATTATGAATACACGTCACATTTCTGATGGCAGTTTTTTCATGATTTTTAAGCTTTATTCATAGTTATTACATAAACACAATATACTTTTTCAGTAACTTGCAAATATTTTAAATAGTACAGTTCAAAAACATGGAGCAATAAACTGAAATCAGCTGAGAGTTAGTCCGTGTTAGCTGTTTGGATGAATAACTTGAAGCAGTGAGCTAGCTTTGTATTTTCACAATTATTGAAAATGAAATGCAGAAGCATAAAATAACGTCCTAAGTATCTAAGGTGTAAGATATAATAGTGCAAAGACCTCAGGCTGTTTTGTTATTCTTAAAGAACTGCTGGGTGGAATTTTCTTGACTGACTTCAGTAGGAACAAATTTACTCTGTGGAGTCAAGAGTCTTTGCATAATTCCATAGTGTAGAGATTGCTTTTTGTGCATGCAGAGGGATGGATTAATTCTGTTTCTACTGAAATCAGTTTGTTTTTGTGCTTAGTGGACACATACATGGGGCCTCAATTTTTAGTTTTGTGCCTCACTAATTTCTTAGAGAAAAACAATATTGTCCCCTGTTCATCCTATTACTTGTGCTTTGCATAGAAATAAGTATGTACAGGACTGTCTGTTGTATGTATTCTTAGTAAAATTTGCATACTAACAGTTAAGGAACTATATATCTTACAAATAAGTTTAGTAAGCAAAGACAGCCTTCTCTAAATGAGGTGGGTTTTGCTGAGGTTGATTACAGCATACAGAAGAGAAATGGGAGAGGGCGAGGTCCGTGGCCCTCTGCTTATTCAACATCTTGCTCATCCATGTTGCCGTTTTCCAGTGCTGGAAGCTCCCTTTCAGGTAGCAGCCCATACTCATTTAGGAAAGACTCCACATCCACAGCAAAAAACTCCTCACTGAATTGTTCAGAAACACTAATGAAATTGCTCAGAAGCTCTCCACCCTTATAGACAAGTAGAGTGGGAAGCACTTCATTTGAGAAGCGGTCTCCGGCCCCTGTGCTGGAGGCCTTTATCTTGCAGAACTTCACAGTGGAGTACTCTGCAGCAAGGCAGGTCAAGCTGTTGTTCAGTGCATCGCAGCCCTTGATGCCATCTTCATAAATATGAACAATGACAGTAGTAGTTTTATGTTCCTTCTCAATGGCTTCCAGGAACTGTTCTCCATTCTGCAGCTCACACAAGTAGCCGTATTTTGGCCCAAAACTCAGCCTCTGGTGCATATCCTGCATGCAACGTTTGCGATATTTTTGTAGGCAACTTTCGTCTTCTTTCTCATCCTGAATTAATTCATACTCCTGCATGCTCATCTGTGGATGTTGAGAGAGTGCTATATTAAATAGTATTAATAAGTGGCCCTCTATTGACACTGAGGAGAGCAAGTTGGTCTCTAGAGAACATTGCCTGGAACATTTAGCCAGGAAAGTAACTTCTTTATTCTTTAACGCACTTCTATGTTTCTTTAAGGTTTCTCCCAAGATACAAGGGTGAAGATCCTGCCTTTCAACACTTGGGTGTCAAATGGATGATACTGAAGAGAGTTACCATATATGGTGAAAACTTCTGGATCTTCCAGAGGTGGTGGGAGTTTTTCCAGTAACTGCAATGGGGTCAGGATTTAATTCCCCCCCCACACCCCACCCCCACTATCACTGTTTTCGCAATTACTCAGTTACCGTGGCAGTGAGTACCCTTTCAGAGCTCTATCCTGACTAGCAAGTTTTTAAGCCTATAAAAAAAAACTTTCAACTGTCTTAACCAAGGATAGAGCATTGGGGAGAAAAGGCCAAACTCTCAGTATTGTGTGATATATTTCTATGACATACACTGCTTATTTTACAGAAGTTGGACTCTACCTGAGAGAGGCCTAGATAGTACTGTGTCTTTTAGGTCAGATGTCGCTATTCTTGTGGCAAGCAATTCTTTGTTCTTTGAGTATCGTCCTAGTCTTCAATGACAGCACTTATGCAGCCACATGCTACTTAGTGGGAGTAATATAATCTGCACCCAAGAGGTTGTTTTGTTATATTTATGATACAAATCCGAAGTAAGGCTACTGTCAATAGTGCTGATTTATTTTATCCATATTATGAGAGTTCTGCTCAGTTGCAAAGGAACCGAGCCTGGCAAATTCAGGATTTTCTAGGTTATATAACTGTTTCATA